TACTTCTTCACCCAAAGAGTGATTAACACTTGGAATTCACTGCCACAGGAAGTGGTGGCAGCTACAAGCATGGACGGCTTCAAAAGGGAATTAGATAAGCATATGGAGCAGAGGTCCATCAGTGGCTATTAGCCACAAGGTATAGATAGGGACTCTGGGGCAAGTGATGCTCTGTCATCTTGGTGCTTGGGGGGGGGGGTCAACAGTGGGAGGGCTTCTAATGTCCTGGCCCTGGTATTTCTGGCCACTGTGTGACACAGGGTGATGGACTGGATGGGCCTTTGGTCTGTTCCAACATTGGCATCTCTTATGTTCTTATGTTTACACTTTGCTCCTTGGTTTTATAGCTATTTCTACCTAATTAGTGGCTGCAGAATTCCTAAATCAATCTTTGATTAACAGAATTGCAGGTTTCTAGTCCTTAAATCTGTCTTAAAATGGTGTAACACGTGGTGAAATCTCAGATGAAAACTGTCCATCAATGTCAGTATTGTCTACTGACATGGGCAGCGGCTCTCCAGGGTCTTTGATGGAAATCTTTCATTTCACCTGGCATCTCCTTTCAGCTGGGGGCACTGGGGATTGAAATGGAAACCTTCTACATGCTAAGGAGATGCTCTGTCACTGAGCCACAGCCTTTCTCTGGGATTCCAAGGACTAGGAGCATGCATGCCCCCTGTGCTTTTGTTATATTTTTCAAAAACTTTACTTGTGTTTGGTTCATTATTGCATGTGTTTGTTCTTATTGCCACACTTGCTTTGGTTCCCACTAGATTCAGAGAGAATAACAAAATCCTCTTCCCCCTTTTGAATAATAGAAGCAGAATAAATTATGCAAAATAATATATGCAAATTATATTTGTATACCTTATACAGTGAACGAAACTTATTTTGGTACAGAATTTGGTTGACTCTGTTTTGTTTTAGAGTGCATATAGTCCTGTTCGACTTCCTCCATCTCCATGGGGTAAGATGATTATTAATAGGTCATTTTTATGGCCAGCATTCCAAATCCTATGAATAGCAGAGATGTACTTTTTCTGTCCCAAATATGCACGTTTCCTCCGTATGCCATTTTTATTCTATAAAATTATACATAAGCTATAGTGGCCTGTGTTTTTTAATGAAGAGTGTATTGTGATGGCTTAATTTAGGCATATCAAGAATCTTGATACTTGATGTTGAAAACTCATGAGGAATTAACATAACGTTGGCAGTGGTGTTCAAGCATTCAACACCAACTTTGTTGCTAACGAAGGCGTCTCAAAAGGAGAAGCCATTTCTGAAAAAGAGCCATGGGACACATTCTTGGCTGATTCCATCAGCGGGGTCTGTTGTGTTACAATATTGTCTTTGGCAGAAGGTCTGTAGCCAAACTAAAATTAGAAAATAGTCAGTTTTAAAAAAAATAAAATAAGAGGCATAAAAGGGAGTTTCAGAGAACATCTAGTCAAGAGGGCTGCAAGCCCAAATCAGGTTTTTGTGCATAACCAGATGGATCACACAGAACACATAATATGAGTTGTATATATCTGAACGTCTAGCACAGGAAAAGGATTGTTGGCTGAATGAACACAGTACTCATATAAACGGTTGCACCGATTTCCACCAATTCCCCCTTCAAGACTTGGGGAGATCCCCAAAAATGTACCAGTACTCAGTTCTGGTGATTACCATCACAAAAAAAGCCCTACACATACAAATTTTGAAGACCAGCTTTGGTTAATGTTCCAGCTTTAATATGTGTGGATGCGAACTCTCAAAAATCTGACCGTCCAGTCACGTGTGCTGAAGCTGGAACCATGTACATTGCCCCCTCTTCACACAAAATGGCAACATGCAATCTTTCCTTATATGCCTTTGGATCACTAAAATAATAACAACTGAGCAGGGCTACTGGTGTGGCCACAACAAACACAACTGCATAATGCATGAAGCAGATTTAAAGAACTGGATAAACAAACGCAGCAGCTGCTGGACCCTGGATTGCAATTATTTTTTTATTTGATGTACTGAAAAAATATAAATAAACAGGGCCAACATGACAGCTAGTCTGGTGTCAGTCACATAAAACATTCACACTGCTGTCATTGAAATATTACTTTAATCACTTTCACAAATGACAGAGTGGCAAATCCAAGTGGAGATCCTTACATGGGATGATCCTCCAAGCATTTATTTCACTATTGCATGTTGCATACAGACTGGGGAGCACTTTCCATGTGAGAAAGACATAATTTGAAGGATTGTAGATTTCTCAAGCCACTGCAAATTGTAGCTGAAGTTGTGATGAAGACCCCCTAACCAACTGTATTACATGAACAAGGGCCAAAAGCATTACCAGTAGGGCCAAAAGGATTACCAGGAATATACCAAGTGTGTGTTAAATTTAACGGCGATATTGTCAAGAATATGTTTGTTTGTTTATTTATTTATTTAAATGTCTACCCCACCCTCCCCACGAATCATTTCTGTCCTCCCCACTTCAGCACTGTATGCAAACTGTAGATTGGCAAAACTGAGCAAATAACTAACACAGACCCCCCCCCCACTGCACACCACTGCTGTATGGAGCTTTAAAAACTCGTTAAAGAATTTGTACTCCAAAATCTGGCACAATGTTTGCGAGTGCTAATTCTTTGCTTAACAGAGAAAACTTCAGTTGCAATCAAATAACAGCCCCCCTCCAACTTAAAAAATAATAATCCCCAAACCATAGAGGAACAGCAGCGGAGAACAGCTGTTCTACTCCAGCTACTCTTCTGTTCCAAAATATTATTCACTCTGCTTTTCACCCATTGAGGGTCACCATATAATTTCTTCTGCTGGTGATATTGTAGCTTTGCAACTTATCTTAAGCAGGTGAAGGAACCAAACAATTGGCCTGCATGAGCTTTTTTGTTATCATGGGCTCCTTGAACTAGCACCTTACAATACACTTCGGTAATTTACAGTGCTATCCTAAAGAGAATTACAACTTTCTAAGTCCCTTGATTCCAGTGGGCTTAGAATGGTGTATCTTGCTTAGGATGGCACTGAAAGAATGCTGAACCAGATGTTAAGAACTTGGTAGAATCTTGTTGTGAGAACACTTGTCTGTCAAGAATGAAGGTTCCGGTTTGACGAGAGAGGCTGCGTGTGTGAGATTCTCCTCGCGTACTTCTTTACCTTATGCTCTATTAAGGAACTTTTAACATCTCCTCAAGATTCTCCCGGAGAGAGAAACTTGGCAAGGGGTGTTTACAGCAAATGGTGGAGGGTGGCGACCCTCCCCGTCCTTGCAGTGAGCCCCAAAAGCGTGGAGCATTAGGAGACCCGACGAAGAGATTCGCCGAGCCATAGACAGACCCCACAGAACTGAAAGACAGAGTCTGTCAAGAATGAAAACTACCAGAGTGAGATGGATGGAGCTAAAAGGAAAGGTAGAGAATGGCTATTGGAATCAGTTTGTTCTTTCAGCTTGTGGCACCCAGCCCCCCTCATTTCCGTGCTTTTCTCTGATCCTTTCAAAAACCAGCGAATCTCAATAGTCATTCTCTGTCATTCCTTTTACCATCTCCCTGAGCCACTGAAAAGTGATCTAAATGTGTTCGATAACTTCTCACCTACTTTCATTTTATAAAAATATCAGTAGGATAAAGGAAACTGATTTTTGTCACAATGAATAGAAGAATTTAGTTTCAGCTCCCTACCCTGCCACAGTAGCTGCTTGCTGGGTGACCTTGAGCCAGTCACTCATTCTCAGCCTGACCTACCTCACAAGTCTGTTGTGAGGATAAAATGAGGAGAAGAGAATCATGTATGCTGCTTTGGGCCCCCATTGGGGATAAAGGCAGGGTAAAAATGAAGTAAAATAAATAAAACCTGTTGTTTTCCTAGTTACGTTAGGGTGGACAGTTGACCGCTTTCCTATAGACCATATTTTGGGGTGGGTGGGGGTGAGGGGAGAATAGGATCCCATGAACTATGAATGGAATAGGTTCACAAGATATCTCTCTCCTTCCCCCAGAACCTCCCATATGTCTCCCAAAACATGTTCCTGGGGATCAGGAGGCCCTTGGGAACAGCGCAGGAGTCAACAAAAGGATGCTGCAACAAGATGAGGGGAATCTGCAGAAATTACCCACCACCATTTGCATTACTTCTGTTCCCACAAGAGCTTGTGCAAGAAAGGAGGCAGATCATTGCTGCTGTTTCCCCCTCAAGCACAGCCTAATCTGTTCCCAACTTGTCCCTTGACACCGAGGAGCAGCTTTTTGAGGGTGCAGCTGGCTGGAAGGAGAAGGATCCATTTGATGAGCTGCTTCTCTTCCCAGTTGGCTAGATCCATCCCATGATTTCCTCCCCTCCTTTCTTAACCCTTATGCAAAGCCATCCAGGTATGATTATCCTGGCAGTTTCTAGTGTGCGGGAATGGATGTTTACAGAGTGCCATTTTACCAGTAAACCATTTCACCTACATTCATCACTAAAGCAGAGTCTCTGAATATTCTTAGACTATCACTAAAGCTTTGGTGGGTGTGCCAGATAAATGTGTTAACTAATTAATGCCCATTGCTGAGTTTGTGTTAGACGGAGAAGATTGTCCCTAATGGGAATGAAGGAACACTTCAGGAATGTTGAGTTTCAGGAATGCAGAACTTTGCATCTGCTGTAGGCTCTGCTAGACCTTTTGGCTAAGGTGTGTAAACATTATCTATATAAAAGACTGGTCCTATCATTATACAGGGTGAGCAAGCTGATCTTGAGGGACCATTAAAAGTCAAGACAAGGGTGACTTATTTATCATTCTCCATTTACAAAATTTTATGCCTTTGGCACAGAAATGTCTTGAGCACTGTCTACCCTGTGTCGTCAATTTGTTTTCACTTTTGTGCCTAAATGAGCAGGGGAAACAAAGAGGGGAAAGATGCATCCACACGAGTTGCCCGTATTTCTGCAAGGGCAATGATATCAATCAGCTAACAAAAAGCACGTTGATTGTTCCTTTGGTGAAACAATTACGTCAAGTTTCTTAATTCTGATGGGTTCACGGCAGTTACTGGGTTGGCTTTTTGCTCTTTCTCCTTCTTGCGTTTCAGGCGAAAAAATACAATCCCTAAAATGATACCTGGAGGGGGGGAATGGAGAAGAAGATGTTTAAAGCACATTGGAAACAAACACTGCAACTATTTCAGAGGCAGAGCAGTCCCAGACTTTAAGTCTCCCTGGTAATCTAGCTGTGGGACTTTGGGGGGCTTAAGCTGAGCCATGGCTCAGTATGGCTTAACTCCAGACCCTGGTTTCATTGTTGACGCCCCCCCCCCAACATGGGAAGTGTGCTGTTGGCGGCCAGAGCATTTCATGCCCATGGACGTTTCCCTCTCATTGGTGATTTTACAAGAGAGAGCTCCTACTGAAAAATACCAGAGCTGCAATGTTTAGTTGATCTGAAGCACCTTGATCCAATAAAAGGTGCCTATCCCCATTTAATTAGGCAGGACATTTGCAACGTTTTGAAGTATTTTAAATATGTGCACTTGCTTCGATCCTCATTCCGTTTGGGAATGAGGATGAAGCAGGAGGGTAAGTAGCCGGGCCTTCTGACACACTTCCGGTGATGTCAGGGGGTGTGGCCTTCTGTCACTTCCGGTGATGTCAGGGGGCGTGGCATATGCAAATAAGTTATGCTAATGAGTTATGCTAATGAGCTCCGGCAGCTCTTTTTCTACAACAAGACCCCTGTGTGCACTTATAAAACCTGCAGATGGCAGGCACCTTTTTAGAAGCAGCATTCCCTCCTATGTGAGAGAAAAAGGAGATGCCTCTTCTGAGATTATACTTGTTGGAAACTCTGCATGGATCTTTGAAAAGCAAAGAAAAGTGCACTTGAAGTTTTTTGGGTGTGTGTGTAGAACTATAGGATTGGATCCAATGACACACCAGAGACTCTGTCAGGTGGTAGAAGACTCCTCCCATTGGGAAGCTTCCTCTCTTCATGGATGGGAGACATTATATCCAACCAAAGGTTTTGAATTGCTTTTGATTTCTCTCCATATGAACACTTTTTTGATTTAAAAGAATTTTTTAACGTTATTTATAGTCCACCTTTCTCACAAGGACCAAGGCAGATTATGCATACAATCAACAAATGGGACATTCAATAACCGGAGCGTTAGGATTTCAGATGTCCGGAACCACCAGCAAGAACTGAAGCATAGCATAAGTATTAACACAACACACTAAGTGGTTCAGAAATTACATAATAGGATCCTACTTAACAATAAACTCTATGCAGCATTACAGACCACAGTCCCAATCATTTATCCAAGTTTGTGAACCCTTTTGTGTAGTGCAACCCAATTACCTGCACAGAAAAGCTGTCCCGAATAGTTCAGCTTTGCATAGTTTGCAGAAGGCCAGGAGAATGGAGAGCTGTCCTGCCCTCCTTGGGCAGACCGTTTCACAAGGCAGGAGCCACAACAGAGAAAGGATATCATGTATGGGCAGTGATTTTGCCCATTTGCAGGTTGGCACCTGCAGAAGCCCCTGCTGACATGAGCGAAGCTGTGGTGGCAAAGCACAGGAGCATATTGAATTCCTCTGTTTGGTAAATTATCACTTAGGAGTTAATGGT